ATTTGTATTTACTACATAAGGATAAAAATAAGAAAAATATATGACATTTTTCTTCAATGATATATATAGTATTATATGTATATTTTTTATTTATTATTTTATCATATTTAGTTTATATTTATTTGACACCTTGTATACGCCTATGTCTTCTTGGACATTATATTGCAGCCTTGCGACGAAATTTCAATCGACGAAACAAGCGCAAGCATCGTTTGTTTACAAACTTCCGATGACACACGTACACAGACCACACGTCAGTGTAGTGAGTTACCACTACAAACAAATGCATACACACGGACCTACGCGGCGTAGGCTACGCCGATAATGTTATTTCATTTTTAGTACCATCGAAATGATGGCGCTTTCGCGTCGGAGTTCGCCCGTCACTTTAGCATCCTCTTAATAAGTATAATATTATTATTAAAATTTTAAATATATTTTTTTTCTCCTATCTCAACATTATTATTATTATTACTATATTATATTTATTAATATTTTATGTTCTATATCTATAATTTATAATTTGTATTACTATATTATTATTTTTATTACGTTATTATTTACACACACACACACACACACGCGCGCGCGCGCGCGCGCACACAAGATTAAGTAAAAAAAAAAAAATAAAATTAGTTAAAATATTCTAATTGTGTATTTTTTCCTCCTTTCTCCTTCTATCCTTGCGTTGTGCTTAATATTATATACCGATTAAAAGAATTATGCACGCATTCATGCACGCTATTATAACTCATTATTATAATTCCGATTTTATATTCTACCGCGGCTAGATATGTATTAAAAAAAAAACAAAGTATATTATTGGTATTTAGAATAAATGCATAACTGAAATAATTCACTCTATATTATTCACCGCGATTAAAAGAGATTGATAGTCACTGATTTGCTCGTTTCCTTCTATCATGTAGTGTAACATGATGCGCGCGCTTATCTCGCAGTAGGGTAGGTTAGAAATCCTTAAAAGAGAGATCGGCAGAACTGTCGCCATCTTGGTGTAAAAGCGGATGTGACGTTCGTAGCGCTTTATTTTAAATGTATACAATAACTAATATATTTATTTTCTGTTGTAACTGACATTAGTGCAATAAAATAATTAAAAACAATTTTATCTCAGTACGATACTTCATGCTTATATAGAAATTAATATATTAATATATATAAAAGAAGTAATTAAATTATTAAAATTATTATGGCACATAAAAAACACAATAAAAGTACATACAAACAAATATAAAAACAAAAATATATATAAACATAGAATAGCAAATAAAAATATTTATAGAAGATAAGATGCAAATAATTTCGTTTATTTGTAATTGTTGTGTATACAATAAATCAATTTGTAGTATATACAACCCAAGGAAAACAGAAAATCAAAATAATGTCAATTTGACATTGTTTATGGCAAAAATGATGTAAAAATGACATTTTTTGTCATTTTTTGATCAACAAGATATCAAATGACATTATCTTGATTTTCTGTTCTCTTTGGAAATTTTATATTATACAGTACTGGATAAAATAAATCATACACCTTTCAATAAATTTAATTTATTACTGTTATTATTTTTTACAAATAGTTACATTAACGAATTCAATTTGTTGAAAGATGTATGATTTATTTTGTCCAGTACTGTAATTTCATCATTATATCACAATTGCTCGTTCTGCAGCATAGAACAATACCTATAGATAATGTAAATTTGATTGATTGAAGTTCCCAACTGCATCTTTTAATTGTAAGCGTCTCGTATCCTCTATTTATAAAATTTTAATGCAGTTCCTTTGAGAGGTGGATATGGTTGTATCTGAAAGATCTGAAATAAAAGTAATAAAAGTAATAAACTTACTCAAAGTTGATTCCAAAGGAATAATAGTAAATGAAATACTAAATCGAAAAAAGCATTGTACAATCTATCCACCTTAACACAAAAATAAAAAACTTTTTTTGATGTTATATTGCTTACAAACATCATATCGGAAGAGTTACGCAGATGTTTATATTTTAGAATCAAGAATATAACATACCTTATACTTTGCACAAAGTATTTCTTAACAGTCCTCGCGTTAAAACTTACAACTTACAACACGTTCACGATATCACGTTACGCAGGTTAACAGTCGTAATGCAGTATAGCTGAGTATAAGTATAGCCATAGGCCATAGCATAGCGTGGTATAGTGCCTTCTCTCTCGCTCACTCCCTGTCTCTCCCTATCTTAATATGTTCTTTCTTTCTCACACTTCCGGTTTTACACCAGGCGACGGAACCAATCAGAAATCGTTAACGTTCTGCCGATCCTTTAAGGATCTCTAGATTAATCCATTTCCTTATGCATTTGCTTATGTACCAATCATGCAAGTTTGTCTGGATAGGCCCTTACACATGAATTTGTCAACGAATGTTAAGGCACATTAGAATTTGCTTGTGAAATTCACACTGGTTTAACAAGGGGAGGACGCGGACTTCGGGTCACCGATTTCAAAGAAATTTTTATATGGTATAGTACTCTATCAGAAGAGTACTTTAGTAAAAGGATAGGGCGCAACGCTCAGCCGTTTTCGAGAAAAATCGATTTGAAGTTTATGGCATCCTTATATTTTGGTCCTGTTGGATCGATTGTCGAGATGGCGACGTAGCTCGGGCACTTAGGCTCTGAGCTATCACGCTGTCAACCTGAGTTCGATCCCTGCCTATTATACTTTTTTTTCATTTATTTTATTTTATTCT